ATATATATACACACATACACACACATATATATATTCCACTGGTTTTGCTTCTCTAGAAAAACCCGGCTATGATGGTTTTCTTAAGTGGTAATCAAGTGTTCTAATTCCATTTATAGATAAAAAAATATTTTTTCTCTACTAATACAAAATTTGAGTCCTAGTGTGGTGCTGTAGGATAAGCACTTGACCACAAGGTTGAACCACAGAGTTGGCAGTTCAAACTCACCAGCCTTTCCCTGGAACTCCTATACAGGGTTGCTATGAATTAGAATGAACTTGATGGCACTTAACAACAGTAATATAAAATGTAGTGTTTCCTCTGAAAAAATTACATGTAATTTCATGTTGGAGTACAGATTAAGAACCTTTGTCTATAGAGTTCTTCTCCATAAATGGCTCAAAAAATTTAAATTATGCTGACTTTTTAGTAACTTTTTTCTTATATACTTTTTACTTTAGATGATCACAATAATATATCACTGTTTAAAAATTGCTCCTTTCTACTAAGAGACATGGATCTTTTCATTTTCTCTTCCTAAAGCAAGGAGAAATTCATAAAGAAAAATATGTTTTAGTTGTTCTTTCTTTTGAACATGTTATTTCATTTGTTTAATCTGATAATATTGGTTATAAATATGCTTGTTGATTTCTTTTAGTTGTTCTTTCTCTTGAGCATGACTGTTATATTTTCTTTGCTTAATCTGATAATCAAATAATTTGATAATGGAGTCCTGGTGTGGCACTGTAGGATAAGCACTGGACTGCAAGCTTAGTATAAACCACAACATTAGCAGTTCAAACTCACCAGCCACTCCTCAGAAACCCTATACAGGTTCACTATGAGTTGGAACAACAATCTGATAATATTGGTTGTAAGTATACATGTTGTTTTCTTTTGTTCTTTCTCTTGAACATCGCTGTTGCATTTTCTTTGTTTAATCTGATATTGGTTTTAAATATACATGTTGTTGTTGTTAAGTGCTGTTGAGTCGGTTCTAACCCATAGCAACCCTGTATAGGGTTTCTGAGGAGCAGCTGGTGAGCTTGAACCATTGACCTTGTTTGTGGTTCAAGCCGACATTGCAGGCTAGCGCATTAACCCACAGTGCCACATAGATGTGAATTCATAAAAATTTGTGTTTCAATTTTCAACAACTTTTCCCATATACAATTAATATTCAACTTTTAATTGTTGTTGTCATTTAGGTTTCTTTCTTATAGAAAGAAGAAACATAATTATGTAGCTTATCCTATAGAATTGTTCTTGTCTTTTCTGCTAAGAACAATTGTTGTTGTTAGGTGCCATCAAGTCGGTATGGACTCATAGTGACCCTGTGCACAACAGAACAAAACACTGCCCAGTCCTGGGCCAACCTCACAATTGCTGCCATGCTTGAGCGCATTGATGCTGCCACTTTGCCAGTCCATCATGTTGGGGCTCTTCCTCTTTTTCTCTGGCCCTCCATCTTACCAAACACGATTTACAACTGGTTGTAATGTATTAACTCAGTCTAGAGCAATGATTTTCCCCCAAATTTTTTATTTCTTTTATCTAAAGAATAGGAGGAGAGGAACCAAACTAGAAGTAGAAACCAGAAAGAATAAACATTGTCTGTAGAGATGGGTTAGAAGTTGATTAGACTCATGTATATATGTGTTCATTTATCTTTGTTTTTAATTGTTCAGGAAAAAGCCAAAACAATAATGGATGACATGAGGAAACTGGAGAAAGGACTAATCAGAGAGATGGAATCAATCCTTCAAAACAAACATATTGATGTGGATAAAGTTGCTAATCTCTTTTCTCAGTGTACAAAAGATGAAATGAGAATTTACAACTCAAACATTAATTCTTAGAGATCATATAAATGGACAACAATCTTCCTCAAAGTTATATTCTTCTGCTTAGCTTGTAAATCATTTTGAGCCAATCTGATGAGTCTTTAATAGCACTAATGTGATATCTTGACTATCAAAACTATGCATAGTCTTAGCTGAAATACTGGAAAATAAGACATTGGAATTGGACACACAGATCATGGGATAGTCAGGTATTTTTTTAACCAACAATAACTATTTTCTTTTTGGTCCCAATAATTAAATATTCAATGTGTAAAATATGAAGTATTAAAATAATGTATGGATTTATACTTAGTAATTTCTTAATTACATTAAAAAAACTCAGATTCCTTTTTTTAAAACTCTTTATTGTGAATTGAATGAAGGTTTACAGATGAGATTATCATCTTTACTTAAATAAATTATATACTTTGAGCTTAGGTACTAGAATAAGAACCAAGATCTTACATACTGTTTGTGTCTTAAGTCTCTTTCGTCTTTTATTTCTACTAACTTGGTGAAAACAGAAACAGGAATAAGGTAATGGTAATGAAATAGAATTATTGGTGCATTATTGGCATCTTAATATGGCATTGAAGATAAGCACTGTACTGTTAACCACAAGGTTGGTGTTTCAAACCCACCAGCCACTCCTTGGAAACCATGAACACGGTCACTATGAGTGAAACTGACCACTGACTTAACAGCAATTGACAACAACAACAACATGAACATTATTATAAATGAACAATAATGTTGGCCCAAAGTTACAGAATTTAAATTACACAAAGACTACAAAATAAAACTCAAAATTGCAAATAGAAACAAACAAACAAAAATAACCTAACACGAAACTTTTTTGTTTCTAAAAATGCTTTTTTTGATATTGGATTACATTATTGGTCATTACCATTGCAATTTTGATTACAATGAAGAATTGGGTCACTATATATATTTAAAGAATATGTAGGAAGTTATTTTAAAAATAAAAACCATATTATGCCTGATACTGTTCTTATCAGTACAGGGTTGCTGGCCCTCAGCTGGTTCTGCACTTGCCCTATGTATGACTCAGTGACAGTCTCCCTAGATCATGAAGACCCCTGCTTAGCCCCGTGCTCCACTTTCTCTTTTAATAAATGAGGGAACTAAGAGTGAGTCCTAGTGTAGTGCTGTAGGATCAGCACTAGACTGCTAACCACAAGGTTGGTGGTTCCAAACCAATTAACTAACTGCTCCTTAGAAACCCTGTAAGGGTCTCTATGAGTCAGAATTAACTTGAGGGTACTTCACAGTAGCAACTAAAGGGTGGGAGTAAGGGTAAACAGTTCCCTGATGTATCCAGGACAAATAGTTGAATCTCATTTTTCTCTGTGGTGCCAGTGCATTTTCAGCTTCTCTTTTGTCACCTCCCTAGGCCAAAGCAACGTCTATCACCTGGACACCTGCTGTGACAGTTCTGCACCCAGGGGCATCTATTAAATAAAAAGTCCAAAACGCCTTTAAAGACTCACTGTTCTTAAGATAAAGTCCCAATCTTTAAACAAAAACCAAGATCCTCCTGATCTGCCTCTGTGTATACCTTACTGCATTTTACCCAGTGTTTTAACTTTTAACTATGCTGCTCCTTCAAGTCAGTCCAGTTCCTGCTTGCATGGCTGTGCCCTTGCCCCATCCCTTGTGTCAGAGCAGAACTGCTCCAGAGTTTCAAGCCCTTTCTTTTTTTTTTTTTTAATAGTCAATTTTTTTTTTTTTAATTGTGAATTGTGTGATAGTCTACATGGGAGAGCATCAGCTTTACATTCATTCGATCATCCATCATTTCATTGGCATAGTTACCATCCCGACCATGAATCCTCACCCAACCAAGGGGTATACCCTGTAAGCCTGCACCCCCGCCCCCCACCCACCACAGTCCTCAGCCCCTTTCCATCTCCTGATCCTGAGTCCCCACCCACACCATCTCTTGACGTTGTCTTCTCTGCCTCCATCTCAGGCCTTACCGCCTCTCTGGGTAGGATTCGCTCTTCGTTCTTCTCCATTGATGGTCCCAGGGTCCTCTGCTTCTAGACTGAAAAGTTAATCACTCCCCTCTTTGCTACAAAATGTCCATCTTTAGAATTCCAACCCTCACAATCAGTCCTGGTAACAATTATTCACCATTGCATCACAAGAGACCCATCTATATTTCATTTCATCAGCCCTTCCTGGACAGGCTGGACACTATTCACTGGAAACTCTACCTTCCTCCACGCCCTTTCGATCTAGGTTCCCTCTTGAAAGCTTGTAAGCCAGTCACTTCTTGCCTTTGTATCCCTACCCCCATTTTGGGTAGCTAATGTCCAAGTTGCCTATCCCTGTCTACCCTTTGTGTAGGGGGCTGGGAATCAAGCCCTTTCTAAAGCAGAGTGCCAGGTCTTTCTCCTAGGGAGCTATTGGGTGTTCAAACTGCCAACCTTTTGATTAGCAGTTGAGTGCTTAACTGTTGTGCTACCAGGGCTCTTCTGTGAGGAATGGGACCATACTTGTTCCCACTGCTGTTTAACACGGTGTCAGTCACATGTTATTGTTGTTAGGTGCCATAGAAGTCCGTACTGACTCATAGTGACCTTTTGCACAACAGGACAAAACACTGTCCGGTCCTGTGACAACTTCACAATCATTGCTGTGCTTGAGACCATTGCTGCTACTCCTGTGTCAATCCATCTCGTTGGAGGTCTTCCTCTTTTTCACTGACCCTCCACTTTACCAAGCATGATGTCCTCCTGATAACATGTCTGAAGTATACGAGAGCAAGTATGGTCATCCTGCCTTCTAAGGAGTATTCTAAGTACAATTAAATTGGAAGGCTGTACTTCTTCCAACACAGATTTGTTTGTTCATTTGGTGGTCCATGGTAGATGCTAAATTTTTATTAAATGACTATGCAAGTACCAATAGAAAGAATTTTTATAGCCTTATTGTCTGTAGAAATCAGCTGGAGAGTCTGTACAATTTGTTAACCTGTGAAAAGCCTCAAGTCAACCTGTCATCTTTATCCATATTTGAAATGAGAATAACTTCTATATAAAGGCTTTTGTTGTTAAGTGCTTTGAAGTCAGTTCAGACTCACAGCAATCCTGTATAGGGTTTCCAAGGACTGGATGGTGGGTTTGAACTGCCAACCTTGCAGCTCAAACTGACCTTGTGGTCCAGCGCTTTCTCCTACAGCGCCACACCAGAACTTCTAAATAAAGGTAAGAATTATAATAATTATATGCAAATTTATTTACAAAACAGTTTGAAAGACTTTCACTCTGTAAATCTAATGTGGTATTTAGGCTTTAGGTACTTGTGTAGGCAATTAATGCCTTATATAATTTAGAAATTTTAATGTTTTCTGTGTCTTATGAATAAAAAATATAGTAGCTGAAATTAGGTTTTATTCTGTAGCCTATAAATAATATATTTTTACCCTGACCTAATCTAAATTGAATATAGTTTGGTTGACCTTTGGTGAAAACGTCAGTATATATATATATATATATATATATCTTAAACCAAAAATTTTACCCTAGAAATAATTATGCAGCCTACAGCAGTGATATGTTTATGATTCTGAACCATTTCTAACCATTATTTGTCACATGACTACATATGTCCAGTGATAGAAGTAATATTTTACAAGTTATGCTACAAGATGAGATAAAAAGTCAAGAGCTGAGTTCTACTGCATAGCAAACAATAGTTTAAAATTTTTCTTGTTTTTATGAACTTACTGGTCATTCATCACTATTCTCAAAATTCCAAGCACTTTACCTTATTCAATAATATTGATGGCTGAGTACAAGCTAGTCATGGAATTATGTATTGAGAGCTAAGAAAAGAAAATTATTGATCATGCTATAGATTAGTGTAAAAGGGATGTGTGTTTTTTTGTTGTTGTTGTTGTTTTTTGTTTTTTGTTTTTTTAGCTTTACATTTTGTTATTTTTGCTTCACAGGAGTTTGTAGCAATACTTTTTAACTTACCCTGGTATTATTTATTGTTTTTGGCAAACATTTACACAGCAAATTAGGTTCCCATTTAACAATTTCAAAGACATTGTGTACATTCTTCATAGTATCAACAGTCTCATTACTTCCATTCTATTTGCTCTGTTTCCATTAATCTAGTTTCCCTGCTGCTCCCTCCCACCTTACCTTTTCATCCTTTAGAGTACATGTTGATTCTTTGGTCTCATATAGATGATTTTTTAAAGGTACACAGTACTCACGGTGATATTATTTAATTAGTCAATCTGTTATTTAGCTGAAAGGTGACTTCTGGGAGTAGTTTCATTTCAAAGGTTAAAGGGTACCTCAGGGTGATAGCCTTGGGGATTCCTCTAGTTTCAACGGGGTCTACTATGTCTGCACTTTAAAAAAAATGTGTTTTGTTCTACATTCTTCTCCTATTTTGGCAGGGTCCATCTATTGAGTCCTTGAATAGAACTATCAGTGGCGGTAGTCAGGCATACCCATTTCTTCTGGTCTCAAGGTAGCTCCGGTAGCGTAGTGGTTACGAATCGGGCTGCGAACTTTAAGGCCAGCAGTTCGAAACTACCAGCCGCTCCGCGGGAGAAAGATGAGGCGTTCTGCTTCCATAAAGATTTACAGCCTTGGAAACCCTGTACAGGGTCGCTATGGGTCGGAAACGACTCGACGGCACTTAACAACAACAACAACAAGGTAGTAGAGGTCATAGATCCCATAGGCTATTAGTGCTATAGACTAGTCTCCTCAAGTCTTTGCTTTCTTTCTTTTGTCTTGTTTCCGAGCGTAGCCGCCTTCCGCTTGGCTCAGTGCCCGCCACATGCCCAAGAGTGCGTCTGGATCCTTGAGGGGCTCCTTTCGCAGCTTGACAGTGCTTATGCCATATCTCCGTCACTTCCAGCACCTTAATTTGTTCCTCAGCAGCCGTCCGCACCTCCTGCACTGGGGATAGGATCCCGGTGAGCGTATCCACCAAGGCTTCCTTCAACCCTTGTGCCACTGGACCCGCAGCCCTGAGGCTGCACCAGCCCACCAGCCCCGCCGTCGGGCAGGGGATGTGTTTTAATCAAAATTGTATCGCTTTTAATTTTTCCAACTGTAATATTGCAAATTAAAAACTGTGATCTGTGTGAAAAGGACTTGAATGTTATACTGACTCACTCACGAAAAGTATTTACTGGATGCATATTTGGGCGAGGCACTGAGGTCACAGAATAAAATAATCTTAGGAAACCCACTTGAGAAAACATTCAAAAATGATAGAAGAGACCTCAATGAAGACTTAAGCGTTACTTAAAGAACTCAAAGTCAAGATATGTGCAATACAAGTTAAAATATTTATTGATAAACTTGGCTGTGGCAGTGAGAAAGTAAGTTATAAATATTTTCATTTAATAAAATGAGCATATCCTTAATTCTAGAAACATCTCTTAAAAGTCTTCTATATCTGAAATTGCAGATCATTCTGATCTAATGTTTTCTTTTAGTATCTCCCATGGAAAAAGATGTGGCAGATTCCTTCGTGCAAATAACAGAACATATGTAATATCATTTGTTCATAGACACAAATTCCCCATTTGCATTTGAGTTGCCTGCATGCATGCAAATTAATATCTCTTACTGTAGCTGCAAGAGTCTCCTGGAACAGCAGAGAAACACTGAGGCAACGTGTTATGTTTCTGTTGTTTTCAAGTTTATCAGCAAGACAATTCTGCTGAAAACATCTCCATTCCCAAACTGTAATTTAAACTGTATAGGTTAATATTACACTAAAATAGAATTTGCTTGTTAAATACATGAGGCTTCCATGCAGGTTTCCTTTTTCAATTACATATTTTTGTATTAAAAGGATAATGACACTAAAAATTATAAATACTTTTCTATTTGACTTTTACATATTAGACACTAAAAGTATGAGATAAATTAAACAAATACTTGAAACATGTTTTCAATAAGTTAAGACTGACAGGTAAATAGTTAAGCAAAGGTTCATAGGTCATGTGAATGAAATCAAAATGAGGCAATTTAATTTTTTAATTCACCAAAGAGAAAACTGACCTGAGGCCAATATTTAGTAATTTCCCAATTTATAGAAGTTTTATACATGGGTACTTATGAAAGACTCAATTCTAAATGTAACAGTAGGATATTAAACTGAGAATTTTTGGCTTGAACTATACAATTTTTTTAAAACTCTAGGGAATAGGTGCTGCTTTGTGCAAACATTAGAAATGATGCATCAATGGCAGTAATTCTGTTGATAAAAGCTAAAGCCACTCAATTATTATTTGTAATACAAAATTTAAAGATTAGACTATATTTCTGTTGAAAAGTGGTGGAGATAGTAGTTTTGGACATTTTTGGACATTTTTATTTTCCTCATAATGGCACAAATCAGAACTTTGGATATAAGAGCAAGAAACAATGAACCATTTAAAAAAAAAAACAACTTTCCATGTTTTAAATGTACCACTTGTCAAGGAAATGGGGAAAAAAAAAAAGAATAAGAAGGCATCTTATTAGAATCATTAAAATTATTTTTTAGCAGGTGCTATTAATAAGTGCAAAGTTGTCATAATTTAAGGTTCATTTACTGCCAGCAGTATACTTGCCAAATTTGGCAATTTAAAGGAATAGTTCACTGGAGATTGATTTTGAAACAGTTGCAGAAATTATATCTTGATTTAAGCAAACAGTTGCAGAAACCAGTGATTTTTAAATGTTGGCATAATTTGTATTGTGTACAGAACTTATGTTCATTATCAGAACTTTAAAATTTGATTAGTTTTTTTTTCTTTTTTCTAAGCCCATTTCCTACATGTTTTGCATACACAGAAAATCATAGAATGATATTGTGGGGTGGAACTCATCTTACCAAACCCCTTCATTTTACAAAAGAGGCAACTGAGGCTCAGAGAGGTTGTGAGCCGCCCAAGGTCACACAGCTAATCAGTAACAGGACCGGAGCTAGAATATGACTCCATGTGGCACTCTCTCCTTCATAATTTAGGCTTTCGGGGAAAGTGAGGATGGGGATGATGAAGGCTCAGCTGCTTTATATCTCTCCTGTTGGAGGGTACTTGCATTAATAACAGGAGGACTCTGTTCAGGACTCTTTTGAAGAAATCTGTAAAATAGGTACTCATCCCGAAATTCATACTCGTTGGTAATATGTTGAATGACTCCCCCTTGCACCAGTCTGTCTCCATATATCACAGCTTCCCCACGGTCAGATGCAAGGCCGACTTCAATCAGCCAGTTCACTAGGTCACAGCCACAGAAGGTCCCAGTAGAAGTCTTTGCACCACACCTGTATGTCAAAGGAATGATTCACCCATATGCTCTGTAACCCTGGTATCAGCACTGCATGATGGAGGACAAGCAAGGAAACATAGAAGGGAACAAGGAAAGACGGCATGATAGTTAAAAGTATGGTAGTTCAAATATGAAGGGTTTGTTACCTCGCCTGACCCTGGAGAGACCCACTGGAGAAAAGTAGAATATGCCAATAATGCTTGTGAAACAGAAAGCAAAAATGTAAAAATGTAATGTAAATGTATCTACAAAGAAATTTTTTTTATAGTGTTGCGGTTAAGTGCCGTTGAGTAGGTTCTGACTCATAGCAACCCTGTATAGGGTTTCCAAGGAGCAGCTGGTGAGTTTGAACCACCAACCTTGTGGTTCAAGCCAATGTTGCGGTCCAGCGCATTTACCCACAGTACTACACCAGGACTTCTTTTTACAGTAGTATGGTCTTTTATAAGGAGCTCTGGTTAGTGTACTGGCCACAAGTTGGGCTGCTAACCTCAAGGTCAGCAGCTTGAAACTACCAGTTGTTCTACAGGCGAAAGATGAAGTTTTCTGCTACCATAGCGGAAACCCTATGCAGGGTCGTTATGAGTCAGAACCGACGCCATTGGCAGATAACCAACCAACTAAACAGTGGTCTTATATGATGAAGACTACTGAATATTATTTTATAACTTGGTATGGAGCCCTGGTGGTGCAGTGGTTAAGCATTCGACTGTTGACTAAAAGGCTGGCAGTGGAACCCACCAGGAGCGCCTCAGGAGAAAAGAGCTGGGGATCTGCTCTTGTTATGGTTACAGCCTAGGAAACCTCGTGGGACAGCTCTACTTTGTCCTACAGGGCCGCTGTGAGGCAGAATCCACTCACGGGTATACCACAACAATAACAACAGAGTATACTCCTAGTTATAGTAAGTAATTTACTTGTAATCGTTTTTAAAAACTCAGAAGAAGGGACTTTTAAAAATCAAAACTACTCAAATCAAACTTGGACTTTTAGCTTACCATCCTGCCCACAAATAACCTTTCTTCTTGCTCCCTGCAGCCCTAAGAATCCTACTGATGTGCCTGGCAGGAGTTTGCTTCATTAGGAAGCAAGGAAAGAATTAGTGAGATTTGTTTTGCAAAAAGTCTTAGATTTTTAAATGTACTTTGATTATGAATTTACTTCTTGATTATTTAATATTTATCTTCCTGATGCAAATGTCGGTTCCTCAGGTATGCGCAAATAAACAAGGAAAAGACAAATATAAAAAACAATGAGTGAATTCTGCACATTTCATACAAATATGTAATAAAAAAATGAATCTGTCCACAAGCATTGGTCAAGCTGTGAAACAAAATGCTTGACACAAGAAACAGTGGTGAAGATCAAGATGAAATGAGAAATATGTGACAAAAACTTTGAAACATTTAACCATAAGTGAATATACATTAGAATTTCAGATAAAATTTAGAAAAGAGATTAATATACATGAAAATACTTCCCAAATACATAACATTACAATATTTTAAAATCAGTATTTCATTTAGTGATAATATATCTCAGTTGATGCTTACAACCCAAACATCACTTTCAGCTAAAGCCTGAATATTACAGCCTGTATCTGCTGAGCTTACCCCTACTTGTTGATTTTAATTTATAGTGCAAACCTATCTCACCAATTGAATCATATTTATTTCCTGATGGCTGTGATCAAGGAGATATAATAACAGCTCACGGAGCTGTACAGAGGGAGAAAGTTGCGTAGAGGCTGTAGACCTAGAAAGGGGTACAGACAGGTCAACACTATGACTGGCCAGTGCTCACTTGGTCCACTGGACCCGAGGAAGCCTGGCAGCTTTGAAAATAGCAAGATTTTACTATAGTTTACCATCATTGTCTTCATAGTTTAAGATGTACCAGGAACTGTGCTAGTAACTACACACCTTGTCCTCTAACAAACCTGAGAGCCAGAATTGAAGAGAAACCAACGTTCAGAGAATTGAACTTGCCCAATGTCACACAGCTAATAAATGGCAGATCCAAGAGTTGAATTCTAGTATCAGTCCACCTGTGAGTCTTCTTTCTACTACCTCTTCCAGGCTAGTTATAGTGACCTATAAACCTACTGCTCACTTGCCAACAACCTCATTATCTGATGTTTTCCATTTATAACAATGGTAAAAATCTACTTACTACCCAACTACTTTGTACACTAACAACCTACATCTGGTAGTAATGAATGCCAAGAAGAGAGGCAGAGAAATGCTGGCTGTGATGTATCAGCAGGGCTGGGTCCTGATTCTCAGTGGTTAGATAGTTATATTGTTTTTGTTACGTGCCGTTGAGCCGGTCCTGACACATAGAGACCCTGTATAGTGTTTCTGAGGAGTAAATGATGGGTTTGAACCTCCAACCTGGCAGTTAGCACTTCAGTGCTTCTCCTATAGCGCCACACCAGACACCGGCAGTTGTATACTGATGTGATTTATCAGTTATGTAATGATTATCCTCCATTTTGTGATTTGATGTGGTCATCTTCTATTTTTGTATAACATCAATTTTCACATAACTGGTCTTTGGAACCTAACCATGTTGATAAGTGAGGAGTGGATGCAGATGTGAAATATAGTGGCATGTTGTTGTTAAGTGCTGTAGAGTCGTTTTGATTCACAGCGACCCTATATAATCGCATTTCCAAGAAGTGACTGGTGAGTTTGAACTGCCAATCTTGTGGTTCAAACCAACCTTGTAGTCCAGTGCTTATCCTACAGCACCATACCAGGACTCCAATAGTGGCATAAAATATGTAAATAAATCATTGTTATTGGTAATATTAATAAATTCTCAAATTTTTATTCACAGACATGAAAGTATTTGTTTATATTTATTTTATCTCTTTTGAGATAACCAAAAACATTGGTACTATGTTGTTGTGAAGTGTTGTGGAGTCAATTCCAACCCATAGCGACCCTATATAGGATTTCCAAGGGGCAGCTGGTGAGCTTGAACCACCAACCTTGCAATTCAAACAACTTTGCAGTCTGATGCATTAGCCCACAGTGCCACACCAGAACTCCATACTATAGCATTTGTTTATTCAGAGGTCATTTCCTGCTGCATACTCCTTACTTGAAGATTAGGAGACTATGTTACAGATTGAAGCTGAGGACTTGAGGTGAAAATAAGCAGCAGAATTAAGAGGCAGAAATTCCATTTCCTTTTCTTGACAATAACAGTAATATGAAATAACATACCATTAGGAGAAGAGGAGGGAGAATGGTGGTTCTGTAGGATAAGCACTGAACTACAAAACTCGTGGTTCAAAACCCAGCAGCCACTCCTATGAAACCCTATACTGGGTCGCTATGAGTCAGAACCCATCCGATGGCATACAATAACAAGAACAAAGAATTGGGAAGAGTCCCAGTGTGGTGCAGTGGGATAAGCACTGGGCTGCTAATCCCAAGATTAGTCGTTCAAAACTCACCAGCCACCTCAGAAACCTACACAGGGTAGCTATGAGTCAGAACCAACTTCACAGCACTTAACAAGAACAACTGGAAATGAAGGAGTCCTGGTGGCACAATGGTTAAGCACTTGGCTGCTAACCAAAAGGTCAGCATTTTGCAGGAGAAAAGACCCAGAGATCTGCTTCCATAAATATTACAATTTAGAAAACCCTCGGAGGCAGTTCTATCCTGTCATATATGGTTGCTGTGAATCAGAATCCATTTGATGAAAGATGGCAAAAGCAACAAGAGAGAAACACTAATGCCCAAGATGAAGTGAATGCTAATGTTCTATAACATTTTGATTCATTCTAAAGTTTTTGCATTTCAAATGAAAGTTTTATGACATCTTAAAAATGGTAAAATCAAAGTAATCTGGTTCTTTCATATGGTGTTTCTCAAACTATGACTAGAGTCAGCTATTTTAACTTTACATGTATATATATATGTGTTACTGAGCCTGGTAGCGTAATGGTTACGAATCGGGCTGCTATCCTCAGGGTCATCAGTTCGAAACTACCAGCTGTTCCGCGGGAGAAAGATGAGGCTTTCTGCTCCTGTGAAGATTTACAGCCTCGGAAACACAGTACAGGGTCGCTATGAGTCGGAACTGACTCCATGACACATAACAACAACAACACGTGTTACTGAAATGAACAATCGTGCATGTCAGTCACACTGACGTTACTTAGTCTGTCACAAACCCACACTAACAACCTATATATAAGTATGTGGAGTCTGTACCGCCAGTTTGCTCACCTTCTTTCCTTGACGATGTTTCGAATACAGAGGTCACGGTGATAATGAATAAACTGTTGACAGGTCATCTTTATTTCCTCAGGAACAGGAGAATCCCTGTTTTCTGTGGTTTCTTTATTGTTCCATAGGAATTCAAGTCTAAAAAACCCACATTTTAAAGAGATCATTTTTAAGTAAAGTAAAAGTATTTAGGGAGAACCCTCCCTTCCTCATCCTCTCTCCAAAATGGCTGCTCTGAGGCAGCCATTCCCCAATGCTGCCACCTCCGACACCCAGACATCCTCAGTCTCCAAAGCAAAAACGTACTTAGTCTGCACTGAGTTTCTTGTTCAGAGCAGGCTGGAGTGGGGATGGGGTGGGGAGCCTTGACTATTTTCTAAACCCTCTAGACAGGGTTGGTCCATTTCAGCTTCTACCAGCACTTGAAGTTCTTGGTCTATATCCTATGTTTTAGAAACGCAATGATACCAGAGATCAAGTATTTCATGTAGTCATTTTCTGACTTTGGTACCAGAGAGACCACTGGGCTCTGTGGTACAAACAATAGTGTCTGCCAGCCCAGACAACAGAGCTGGTGATGATTTTACCTTATCAACATTATGAAGCTGATCTATTAGTTCTGTGACTTTCCTATTATATTTGTCCTCCCTGACTCCAGCAACTCTATCTAAATAATAATAAAGGAGGAGGAAGCCTGAAAGGGGAGGTGAAGGGCAGGGAAGAACAGAACAGCTGCCATTTACTGGGTACTTAAAATGTGTCAGGATACTCCTTCCTAACAACCCTATTATTACCCCACCCCACAGATGAGTCTTACAGAGGTTAAGCATTGCTAGGAAGTTACTATTCTTTAGTGCTCACAAAAATGTAGAAACTATCAAGTGCTTTTCAAGTAGTGGGGAGGATGAATTCCATTAGCACTTCTAGCTTCTATTCACTCTGACTTGGTCAACAAATGAGGAAGGACAAAGATTTGTGCTTCTTGCCCCTTCCTTCCACTCCAAAGTTGGAGTATTCTCATTTCATTCATTGTTTTTCATACAGAAACCCTATTCTGAATTCAAAGACACCCTTCACCAAGCTAATATAAAACCAAACACTTAGAAAGAAGAAAACTTAAGTTTTCTCTAATTGTCAGTTTGACAGAAACAAGCATCCTGTTATCAAAGGAGAATGACAATCAAATATAGACCTTTGGGGACACACCACTTTACTTCATCCACTGCTAAATACAGTTTCATTTCACTTTTGTAGTTAATGGTATAGATAGAAGCCAGCAACAATTCCCATTAAAATGTAAATTACAATGCCAGTTTTATAATAGTTTTTCTAATACTTTCTCTGTACTTACATTTCAAAACTATGTGACTCAACAGGTAACCTTTCTGTGGTGGTTAGTGATCTGCTTGCAGTAACTCAAGGTTTAAAAACAGCAGTAACTTAATAGGAAGGCTTTGTCATCACCTCTATTGATAGTTATTTCAAAATGAAATTTACCTTCTCTTGAAAGGTAGGATGATTAAATGTTTGTCCAATCCAAAGATTCCAAAGGAAATAAATCCCTAAGGAAGAAGACAAAGTTATATTTTCTGAATTCAGGAATAAAATTTTAAGACAGAGAAAAGTTAAGGAAGCCACCAAAGTCAGTGCAGGAAGAAGCAAACTTGTCTTGACTTCAAAAAGTTCCTGGGAAAATTCCATTATCTTTCTATTACATTTTTTCCAGGAGCTCTTGAAGCCCCTGGTACAAGGCAGACCCTCCCAGTTCAGTACTTGGGGCAGGTTAGGATACTTTGTGGCCTCTTTTCAGTTCTGGTCTAACACTTTCAACCAGCAGGGCCAGGAAAGTTTAGTAGCCTGGTTTGTGTGATAGCTTACCGGAGGAAAATGGAACATTTTCCTGTATAAATCTTTGCTTTGTCTTTTTAAAAAGGATATGAAATCCCTCCACCTATACTTAGGTATTATCTTTTTCATAAGAACATCATGAACAACATACACAAAGAAACAATGTGGCAGTAACTTCTACAGTGCAGTCAGTGAGCAGAACTTAAAAAACTCGCTAGCACTTAGGGAAAGAGTTTGGCAGATTTGGGGTTGACAAGGCAAAATGGCACAGTTAACAAACAGCCACAGATCTGGAAGACCAGGACGATGGCCTTGGCGGGACAGGAGGTTGGGAGCTGCTGTTTGAGGAGCATACTGGGATAGGGATCTAGGTGCAGGTTGGGGGAGGTGGGATGGAGAATGCAAAAAAAAACTACATGAAGGACTAACTTTGTTTGCTCCAAAGTAGTAAACATGAGTCCTGGTGTGGCCATGTGGGTTAATGTGCTGGACTGCAAAGTCAGTTTGAACCACAAGATCAGTGGTTAAAGCTCACCAGCTGCACCTCGGAGGACTCAACGGTGGCATTTAACAGCATCAGCCGCAATGATAAACAGCTAGAAAGGAATGATCTTGCTGCACCACCTCTCCAAGAGGACAATGGGGCAGGAGCAGAGCTTTGTATTGCTCTGATCCTTTGAATCACTGGGGCCATTGTGTGGGCAGCATCTCAGATGCAGCCCTGTTTCTCAGCCCCGGCCCTCAGCTTGAAGTGCACTTTCTGAATGCAAACTACTGAGTGAAATCATGACTTTTCAATCTAGTATTTTTCATTTCTTGGGTACCACACCAGATCTTAAACAGTATCACAAAGTGAGGTAGGCATCCAGAAGCCCTTGGGATGCTCATGTCTGCATATACAAGAATGACTGTTCACAGACAGCCATGCTTGCTCCCATCAGAATGCTAAAACAAACAGGAAATACCGTCAGAAATTAAGATTTGGATCTACATTTATGGACAAGCATTAACTAATTCATATGGCATATTATTTTAAACTTAACAGGTTTTTAAAAATTTCTCAAACAGTGCTTTTCCAACCTGATAATTAATTAATTAATTATCAGGTTAATCAATCAATTAATTGAATATTAAGTAATTAATTGAGTAATCAATTTCTAATTAGAAAGTTAATTAAAACTTGTACAAAAAATACTAATGTCATTTATCCTTAAATATCTGTTTTATTAGTGTTATAAACATAGACTGGTATGAATAAGCGCTAGACTATTAACCACAAGGTCAGCGGTTCAAACCCACCAGACACTTCTTGGAAGCCCTATACAGGGTCACTATGAGTCAGAACTGATTTGATGGCACTTAACAACAACATATAAACATACACAGCAATACCTAACATATTATTTCTTCATGGGATCTTAGTTTCCTATTTTGCAAAGTGGATGATAATATCGGCTTTGCAGGTCCTGTTGTGCTGTTTAAATGAGACAATGAATGCAAAATGCTTAACAATGCTTAGCACAGCTTGAACTCTTAAGGAATGGTAGCTACTAGCCCTCCCTAAGATATATTTATACACAAACTGTAGGATAAGCACTGGAATGCTAACTGCAAGATCAGGGATTCAAACCCACCAGCCGCTCCTCAGAAACCCTTTACAAGGTTACTATGAGTCAGAACTTAACAATAACAACAACAACATGGTTTTGAAAAGGTTTAAGTACCTTATTGTTCAAGAGGAGGCCCGATGTGGAGCCATAGGATAAGCACTTGACCTCAAGGTTGGTTTGAACCACAAGGTCATGAGTTCAAATTCACCAGCCACTCCTCTGAAAACCTATGCAAGGTTGTCATGAGTGGGAACCCACTTGAGGGCACTTAACAACCACAACATTGTTTAAGAAACACCAAAATGCAAATGAAGTGGTGGTCCTCAATTCACCAACAACACGCTAAAGGCCCAGGGACAATAAATCATTTTCCCAAAGTGACTTTTTGTTAAAACCACAACCAAGTGTAAAAAGAACTTAGGACATCTTGTCCTACTTAAATGATCATTCTTTATCTCAAAATCAAAGCAGAGAACTATTTGGTATTTGTGATTGAAACACTTTGAGTACATTCTGATGACTTTAACCAATGTAAGAATTCATCTTCTACCAGGAGACAGACAGCAGCTGTCAGCTGCCATGTAAACCAGCAGCTGGCAAACAAGCTCAACCCTTCTGATTGAAAAGAAAACAACATCCTCAACAGCTCCCACTCCCAGGGGATAAAGGAAGGAAGGAAAAAAAGAAGAAGAAGAAAAAAAAAAAAAAAAACCATGTAGGAAAACAAAAACTCCTCAAAGTTCTCAGTAAACAGATACCTGGCCAAAGTTAAATACAGCACAGAAAAACTGTAGCTCAACATATAGTCTTCCAGGCTCTTGGTTGAATAGCCACCATAAACAACTGGAAAGATTCTGTAAAGGAAGGAGAATAGTACACTTTAAAAAGAAGCAAGCCAATCGTGCCTCTCCAACTGGAGCACAGTACAATAACTTGTCTACTTGATAACTGGGAAGAAAGACGAAAGGGAGCCGCACGAAGAGAATGTACTGGCTTTGTCTTTTGAACAAGAGGTTTCAACCTCTCCTCCTGACAGATGTCATTCAAACAGTGCCTACACTGATCAAATTTGAAGCAAGAAGACAGGAACCATAATACAGAGGCTTACATATCAGGACCGCCGACTAGCCGGAGACAGGACTGATTTTAAAATTAGTTCTAATTGAAACCAGTCAGTGAAAACAATCACATCACTCAGCAACCATTCTTGGCAGCATTTCTTACTTTTTGATTTTTGTTCTTAAACAGTAGTTAAAACTTGTGCTGACTGGTATCACAGTATGTAACCAGCATCCCAGTATGTAAAGGGTGAATTCAAGGTCGATTGGTCCATCATTCTACCTCTAGTCAAGTAACATTTGAACTATCTCAAAGAATTATATAATAATCCATAAAAGAGGGCAGAGAGGGAATTAAAAAAAAAATAATCAAAGAAATGGCATTTAAAAAATAAAGTGCTACAGTTCACTTACAAAATAATCAAATTAAAAAGCAATTCATAATATTCAATGCTGGTGAGAGAACTTTGTAAGTTTTACTAATCCTTGTGTGTGGGTTAATGTGCTACAAAGCAATGTCAGTTTAAACCGCAGATGGCTGGCTGAAGCTCACCAATCGCTCCTCGAAACCTTATACAGGGTCATTATGAGTAAGAACTGACTCAATGACACTTAACAACAACTACTCCTTTGGAAAACAATTTAGTAAAATGTATTCTGTAATCTAGGTTTCCCAACTTTGGAAATTTATCATAAGGAAATATAATGCATCAAGATGTTTGGTGGTGGTGGTCATGTGCCGTGGAGTTGGTTCCCACTCATAACGACCCTGTATAGGATTTCCGAGGCTGTAAATCTTTATGGGAGCAGAAAGCGTCATTGTTCTCCCATGGAATCGCTCGCTGGTAGTATCAAACTGCTGACCGTGACATTAGCAGCTCAACTTGTAACCACCATGCTACCAAAGCTCCTTATCAAGATGTTTAGGAGAGTGTTTTGAAAAACTGAAAACCCATAAAGAAGTGGTTAATTAATTATACTGTGTCTACTATGTGGTTTACTGGGGAGCCGTTTACAGCAACAGCTATGAACATTATGCAGCAACATGAAAATGCCTGAGGTAAGTGATAAAGTCAACATAGAAATCTGAATGTATGATTATAACCATGAAAAATGCATTAAAAAACAGAAGATATGATAGACCACTTTTCTCTATTTTGAAACTATTCTATTACATGTTTTTTTTCTAACATAATTAAAAGTTGTTCTATTAAGTTTATTTATCTGAGGCATATCTTTTGAGAGATTATGTAGTTATTTATCCACTGAGTTTAGTCAAGCAGTACTGAGACCAAATTCTAGGCTCAGAGCATGAAGGAAAAAATGTTTCTCAGCAAAATAGACTACTAGAATACTTAGGCAGCAGTAGGGGCTCTGGTGGCACTGTGAGTTTGGCACTGGATTTCTAAATGAAAGGTTAGCAGTTCGAACCCACCAACCACTCCTCGGGGGACCAATGAAGCTGTGTGCTCCCGTAAAAATTTAGTCTCAGAAACCCCTATGTAGGGTCACTATGAGTCAGAATCAACCCGATGGCAGTGGGTTTGTGTTTTGTGTTTTGTGAATCATTCATTCTCCTTTTCCTTCAAAAACATTTAACTCAAGATTAGGCATCAGACAGCCTGGCTACCATCCTCCTAAAGAGTAGCAACTAAGTTTTTCGCAGATGTCTAAATAAGACTTTTGTCCAACATTTAAAGAAATGGCCCCAAAACAAAATCAGAAGAAACATTTACAGCAAACAGGCCAATAATGAGAAGTAAGCACAGTAACACATGTCGAGTCAGTTGCTGGTCTCCACTCTGTAGATACTGTTCTTCTTCCTGGGCCAATATGCAGCTCTGGGAGTTGCAGCGACTCACACAATGATCATCTATGAGACAGTAAGTACAACAATTTGTAATCAGGGCTTTTTATTGAAGTGCATTTTAAGTTCATAATGACTTCCTAAGAGAACTACCACATATGCACACTCAGCTAAGACTCAGCCTATTATTTTAGAGGAAATCTGAGAAAGCCTCCTTCATGTTGGTTTAGGAAAGTTCTAGTTGTAGAGGATTTTTAACTGAAAATAACACAGGTGGCACACAACAGTTTTCTTCTATACTAGTCAAATCAGTTTTGACGTATAGCAATCCTATACAGGATTTCTGAGGAGCAGCTGACATAGGTATACAAATATATATACATTTAAAGGCCAAATTAATAACTCAAGTTTCACCTATGATAAATACAATCATAATATCATAAAATCTAAGATGTGCCCCAAATTTAAGAATTTTCAGGAATCAACATTATTAATAAAGAAAATAATGGATCAGTAAAGTCTAAAGGAAACTTTTTTGGGGGAGAAAAAGTTGCTGAATCAAAATATGTTAATAGATTGATCAATTAGGTATATTGTATAGACAGAAAAAAACAAAGGAAAAAAACCCTTGGAAATCCTTTCATAAATTTAAAGAAATATTAGCTTTAGAAAAACGGTGCACTTAAATAACAACTGAGCAAACTTGACTGAAAATACCAAAAGGGGTTTCCAATCAGAAGTCAATGAAAAGTCCAACATCTGAAATATTTTTACTTCTTTCTATAGAAAAGTGAATTCTACTGTCATTTAATATTTACTCTAGCAGCATATAACAGCCAAATATGACAATAAACTCCACTTGTCTAATGAAAACTACAGCTACTATTTTCCATATTTAGTGAGAATTACTATGTATACCACACACTGTACTAAGTGGTTTGCATACATCATTTCTTATAATTCTCACAGTATTTCTTACATAACATAAGCAGTTCATGTATGCCTCGTTCACAAAGAACACTTTTTGGGGTTCCCTTCCCCAGTTATGTATAAATAGCACAGTCAACTGAAAGCACATTGCAATTCCATTAAGTGTGCTGGATGTTTTAAATAATTTGAAATTCAGACCACAAATATGATTTAGTCTCTTGGTCTACATGCCAAAAGGCTATTACTTTAAAAAATTTTTTCTTTCTTGTAAGAAAGGACATACTTAAAGGACATGGATTGAAAATGTAATTAAGTAGTCATTAGTCCTGATTCTGAGAAGTAGGGGAAAATTCTCAGCTTCCAAAAAAAGAAAAAAGCACTTCTCCCTCCCGTTCTCCTCATAAAAAAGGAAAGCCCTTTAGGGCAAATTTTTTGATTCATCACTTGGGTGGGTTTAAATTATTGGAAATTATATGTATGTGTGTGTTGTTGTCATTTAATGCCATTAAGTTGGTTTCAGCTCATAGGGATTCTGTGTAGGGTTTCTAAGGCTGCCTATCTTTGCCAGAACAGAAAGCCTCCTCTTTCTTTTGCAGAGTAGCTGGTGGGCTTGAACCAGTGTCCTTGTGGTTAGCAGTCCAGTGCTTATCCTACAGAGCCACAGTGCTCCATGTATATGCATATAAAAATAATACCTCTTAGTATTGTGTTCAAATAACTTTTTAAAATTTTATCTATCGAAGATTATCCTATTAGCACTTTCCCATCTTATTTGAGAATTCCTATTTTGAAGAAGTATAACTTCTGTATCAATTCGATACAGTTACTCTGAGGCATGGGGTTAAGGAAACTTCTATTCTGTAAACCTATCCTTGTGGCCCGGTTGCACTTACTTTTTTCAAATGAAGAAGGAACAGAACCGCTGGTGCTTGTATTTGCTACTGGCTCTGCTGATGGGCAGTGCAACTCACCATTTCCCATAGAGCAGGAACAGCAACCTGCATTGATGAAATAACACGTGAGACTAGAGCCCAACCACCAACAGAAACGAACAAGTTCAAGAGATGCCAAACACAACAAGACACCAACACACAAACGTCCCATGTTTTCTTAGTGGAAATGTTTCTTTT